CACCAAGTATTCCCCTGGAGCACTGACTCATGGAGGCTTTTGTTTTCTCGAGGACAAAAACAGTCACGATTACGCAGAAGAACTAAATACAGTCCCAAGCACAGAGCAGACAAGTGCAAGCCCTAAGCTAGGGTTCAAAGAGTATTCATAATTCTATTTTTTAGAAGAGAAAGTTGAAAAACTGCAAGTACTAACTCCTCCCTCCTATAACTATTTTTGCTCCTTTTAACACAAAACAACTAGTTGAAAAAGCATTTTCAAACCGGGACCAGGACTTGATGCAATGTGTTCGTTTGAGAAAGTGTTAAAGGGACGCTAGGGTTCCTCCAGATTATCTCCTACGGCTACTAGTTCTCTCTTAACACCCTCATTCAACCTGCTGCTTCCTTTCCCCAGAAGTAACAACTGTTCTCTTCTTTGGTTAACGCTTGCTGATTTTTCACATTTTGTCAGTTTTGACATCGTCCTCTCAGGCCTGGCCTGAAACCTCCTCACCTGCTCCCCGGGTTGGCCTCCTACCTGCTCCCTCTCTGGGAACCTCGGCCAATTACACCTCGCTCCATAGGGGAGCACACTTTGTATAAACTCTATCCTTTTCTGAAAAGCAGAAAGATTAAAGAGGATAGATGTGTTTCCTCTCACACTATGCTCCCTCTCACACACAATGCTCACTAGCTCCCTCTGGCTTGCACACACACAGATGTTCACACATGCCATAGACGAAGACACACTTTCACACTCAGTGAGTCTAAAAAGCTGCGACAATTATGCCTATCACCAAACTTCTGTCAAAACAGAGACCTGGCTGAAGAGGCAGGAGCTGAAGCCAACACCTCTAAGTCAGCTGCTTGTCATTCCTCCAACTTCCTCTAAAATCAACGGACATGACTATAGTCTTCCTATGGGCTAGAAACCAGATATGACGGGGTTAATGCCAATCACTTGGAGAAACACAAAATATGAGATAAAAGTAAAACCAGGCCAAAGACTGAGCTTTGAGAGCACATTACTAAGAACACACACCCCAGCAAATGCAGAAGCCAAAAATAGCCCTTGCATTTACCAAATGGTCATCTCACTTTACACTCCCTCCAGCAGCATAAAATAAATACATGCGATGAAATATCCCCTTACTAAAGGACAGGTGGTTTGGTTAAATACAATGCTTAATGTAGATGGAAAGATGCAAGCAACTTTACATTCAACTGTAAAACTGTCTTTTCCGAAGCTGAATGAATCATTAATCAGCCAAAGGTGAATATTTCAAATCATAACTTCCCTACAACATCAACCAGTCAATAGTTCGATTTCAGCGACACTGGCATTTTACTACAGTCTTTGTTTACATAGCTATTTAAATTTTCTTTTACACTTTGCCCTGAGAATTTCATTTTAAAAATTATTAGATAGTGGGGAAAATAGCTAATTGGAGATCACTGATTGCTTAATATGTTCAATTGTGAAGAAAATAACCTCAGAGAAAACGTAACGAAACCCAGAAATATCTCATTAACTACTATGTCTAAAAGGCAAAATGTTCACATTCCCTCTCTGGAAGAAATCTTATCACATGTAAATCAATTGTTTAACTTTCTCATATTTACTCTTTAAAGGCAATTTAGGAAATACATCATATACAACATGTAGGCTTACCGATATCAGTAAATTTACTTTAAGAAATCCATTTATGTTTTAAAACACAGAAATGAAAGTAGCTCCTAAAAATTCATGTGGTGGAACCCAGCATTTTTCAGGCTTCTTCAATCAGCACTTTTGTTTTCATAACCGTGTCATTAAACTCCAGGAAGAAACATATTTTTAGAACTGGGCTTTGAAAAATTCATTCGATTGTCACTGTTAAAAAATATATTTTCAGGGACCTGCCGAGTGGCGCAGAGGTTGATTGCCCATGTTCTGCCTTGGTGGCCCGGCATTGGCTGGTTCGGATCTTAGGCGTGGACCTATGCACTGCTCATCAAGCCATGCTGTGGCAGGCGTCCCACATATAAAGGAGAGGAAGATGGGCACGGATGTTAGCTCAGGGCCAGTCTACCTCAGCAAAAAGAGGAGGATTGGAGGCAGATGTTAACTCAGGGCTAATCTTCCTCAAAATAAATAAATAAATAAATAATTTAAAAACAAAAACAAAATACATCTTCATTCAATGCCGTTTTCATATAACCCTAGTAATAACACAGCTCTCAATAATAGGCAATAAAACCAGCCTAGCAAAATAACAGAAACATTTAGAAAAATACGAGTCATCTGAATGGCCTGGATCACCCTGCTGCTTAGGCTCTGCTCACGCCAGTGCCACACTCCTCTGCTGCTTGGGTTCTGGATCTATGAAGAAAACGGGAAGCAAGAATACGGGCAGGATGCGGTTACTAGACCCGCTCATGATATATAAGGTATTCCACATCAATATCTTTTTCTCCTATCTCCACCAATATCAGTGGCAAAATCTGCAATCACAACAAGGGGGAATATCAATAAATTACAAAGGCCTTTGCCAAGAAAAGGGAAAACTGAAATCATCTTGGGAAAAATTCTAAAACCTTCCTGGGATGGCCCCAAGCTGCTGGATCAGCTCATGCTGAAGTAAGACTAATTGCAGTACACATTCTAGGAAGTAAAATCATGCTGATGTGAACTTAGATCATACTTTTCTAACACCTGAAAGAAAGTAATGGGCAATCTCTGTAACGCCATACTGATAGTTTTTCCTTCATTATACATAGAAAGTTACATGCTCCACATTTTTTTCCTCCACTCTTCCCTCAGTGAAGAATGTATTTCTGTACCTTCTCATAACTTTACTTCAGAAGACCTAATCATAAGGAATTAGTGAATGCTTTAAAGGAAAAAAAAAATCTATTTCGACCTTTGGATTACTGAAACTACAACAGAAAGTAATTCTCAGCAAAGGAGGAAACTATTAAATAAGTATAGAAAGGGGATTCCAACTTTATACACCTGAAAGTCATTTAACTTCTTTTGCACCACTCAATACGAATCATTTTCCCTAACAACTAAAGTTATTGTATTGTTTAGCAGAGCCATTAGTTAAAGCTTAAAGTTTTCATTAGTTATATTTCCCTCTATCTTTAAAATATTTTTTGATTTTAACAAGAGGGGAGTTCCTTCAAGTGACACCATCAAGAACCTGCAAAGACAACTGACAGAATGGGAGAAAATATTTGCAAATCACATATACAGAATACATAAAGAACTTGTACAATGCAGTAATAAAAAGACAAACAATTCAATTTTTTAAATGGGCAAAGGATTTAAAAAGACATTTCTCCAAAGAAGATATGTGAATGGCCACAAGCATAGGAAAAGATACTTGGCACATTAGTCATTGGGAAAATGCAAACCAAAACCACATTGAGATCCACTTCACAACCACTAGGATGGCTATAAATAAAAGACAGACAATAACAAGTGTTAGTGAGGATGCGGAGAAATTGAAACCCTTATGCATTGCTGCTAGGAATATAAAATGGTGCAGACACTTAGAAACAGTTTGCCAGTTCCTCAAAATGTTCAATATAGAGCTTCACATGATCCAGCCACTCTACTCCTAGGTATACACCCAAGAAAAATGAAAACATACGTTCATACAAAAACTCGTACATGAATGTTCATGGCAGCATTATTCATAGTAGCAGAAAAAGTGGAAACAACTCAAATGCCCACCAACTGATGAATGGATCAAGTGTGGCATATCTATACAACGGAATGTTACTGGGCAATAAAAAGAAATGACGAACCAATACAAGCTACAATACGGATGAACTTTAAAAATATTATGCTAAAGCAAAGAAGCCAGTTACAAAAGATCACATTCTGCTGGTCTATTTACATGAAGTGTACAGACCAGGTAAATCTAGAGAGACGGTGAATAGATGAGTGGCTGCCTGGAGCTGGGGGTAGGCAATGGGAAGTGATGGCTAAGAAGTTTCTATTTGGTATGATGAAAATATTCTAAATTTAGATTATGGTGAGGATTGCAAAACTCTGTGAATATACTAAAAACCATTGAATTGTACACTTGAAATGGGTGACATCTACGGCATGTAAAGTATATCTCAACAGAGCTGTTAAGAAAGGGAAGGAGGATCCAATGACGCATTGTATTTCTTGGGGCGTTTGAAGACTGAATAGTAAAACTGCTTAGATCTTTCATCACTTAGAAAAACTGCTTCCATGTGTAGATCTAATACTAAACAAGACATAAAAACCAGTGTCAATGAGGTAACTGGGTGTCATTTGAGGGTCCCGGAGATAGACTCAGAAAAATATGTGCATTTTTAGGAAAATGTGTGCACTGAAACAGAGCCAGCGAATATAAATCCGTACAAAGGCCTTCGCAAATAATAAGCAAATATTTCTCACTGGAAATAAAGATGCACTGAACGTTGGTAAAACAGCAGCGTTCCCAAGCGCCTAAGGATCCCAAGGTGATCCACCTTAGATTCTGCCCCTCCTGTAATTAAGAAGGGTCTCAAAGCGTGAGCGGTAATCAGCAAATAAAGAGAGGCAAAAGGACTCAAGCGAGGGCCGGCTCCGCACACACGGGGCCGCTGTCATGCACCCACGGCTGCGGCTCTCGGTGGGGATCCTTTCTTCCCGGCGCCCGGGGTCAGAGGCCCGGGCCCCTCAGCTCCCACGCTCGGCGCGCTCGCCTCGCCTGCCTGCATCACCTCACCGCCCCGCGGCCAGGGGAGCAACGAGGGTGGTCTCGGCACCCCGGGGGTCACGGGACACAGGTCCCAAGCTTGCGGGAGAAGCAGGGGAAATCGCGGGGCGCCACCCCCGCCCCGGGCAGGGGCCGTTCCTCTCGCAGTCCCCGTCTCGCGCAAGGCGCGCCGTTCCGCGAACGTCCCCGGGATCCAGGCCGCGGAGCCGCCAACGTCCCCCGGGGTCGCTGCGCGCATGGTGGCGGGGTCCGCGCGGAGCCCGATCTGCCCCTGCGCCCTTCCGCCGGCTCCCACCTTTCTCCTGCACCATTTCCAGGACGTCTGGGTCTCCCATCTTCGCCAGCTCGTTGATGACACTGCCCGAGGGGCGGCAGGGAGAGGACCACTGCGACTGGCGGCGAGATCGGGGGCAGAGAGTGAATCGGATCGTGGGCTGCCGGGGTTCCTGGTCCGGGACCCAGCCCACCAAGGTCTCCTTTGTCTCCTCCGGGAGGACGTCGCGCTCCCCGTTGTCCACCGCACTCGGCTTCCTCAGCCCCTGGGGCTTCCTCTCCAGCCGGTACTTCCACTTGGTGCCCGGCGTCCACTTCCTCTCCGTCCTCTCCCGGTAGCGCGCCCGGGACCCCTCCCAGTACCTCTCCCGGAACGTGCGGGGCGGCCGGCCTCCCGGCCTCTCCGCCTCCTTTCCACTCCCGCTCTCCCGCGCCTCTCCCCGCCCCTCCCTCCTCCTCTCGACCTCGGGGGCAGCCATCTCCCCGCCCCCCGGCCCGCCCGAGCCGCTCGGCCCCGGCTCCGCCGCCTCCTGGGGGCCGGTCCCCTCGCCTCCCTCCTCGGAGCCTGTCTTCTCCCGTCCCCACTCGGGGCTCGCCGCCCCCCGGCTCTCTTGGCCGGTCGGCTCCATTGTCAACAAGCCTCGCTGGTCCCATTCCCCCGGGTCGGCCCCCGTCCCGGACTCCTGGTACCCCGCGGCTGCCGCCTCCCCTGTCTCCGAACCCTCCTCCTCCGATCCCCGCCGCCGGGCCAGCTGCGCCCTCAGCCAGTTGGCCTGATCCTCCTCCATCTGCCCAGCCTTGCGCCTTCGCAGGGTGGCACTCGCAGGGAACCCCCTCCCACTTGGGAAGTTATTTTTTGTCGGGTGGGAAAAAGCCCCGTTTCCTTAAGGAACACCCCGCCCCGCCCCTTAAGACCCGCGCCTCCAAGATTCTAGCAGCCCCCTCCTTTCCTCCCGCGTCGGGCGAGTGGATTTTGATTTTTCTCCTGGTTTCTGGACGCCGAACTGGATCTTTGTTTAATACAGTTGGGGGAAAGTCATATATTTTGGCCTGAATTTGAATTTAATCTTACCCCTTAAAAGTTGGATGGCGTTGGGCAAGATTCTATAAGCTTCAGTTTTCTCATCTTTAAATGAGAACGATAGCAGTTCCAACCTCGTAGGGGTGTTTCGAAGAGCAGGTGTAGCATCCTGGCATAATGTGCTAACAATTTAGCTGCTCTCAAAACTAACCCATGTACGCTGAGCCCTGGTCCACCTCCAATGTCCTTAGCGACTCCGGCGCTTCAACCTCAAGCAGCGTGAATGGTCCCATTCTTCACAGGCTCCTCTGAATTGGTTCTGTGTTGTTGAGACCCTGTCCACTGCCAGCTCCCTGATAATTGAGAGATAAGAAGAATTACTGTCTAATGGGGAGAAATATGGATGACCGATGATGAGCTAAGGGTGAGGTGCAGATCTGAGCTGAGGGCCTTGAGATGCTGAGGAGGGAGGGAGCTTGGGACAGGGATGGGAATGACAAGGAGGAGATGACCAAGGAACACTTGACCTTTCTTCAGTTCTAAGCTACTCTATTTTTTCCCCTTTCTGTTGACATTTTAGAACTGAGAATTATCTTTTATAGGTGAAGAAACAGGCCTAGAGAGAAGTGTTTAGGGGAAGGTCATGGTTAACTGTGGAACTAGAAATCACGTTTTATTTCTGTACCTTGCTATCTGTTCCCTATTAAAACCTCTGGGAATACATCAGTTCTGGTCAAGTGATTTGAAATTAGGTAATTCCTTACTTGATGCATTTGGAATTATGTTTGAAATGCCAGTATACATGTGACAAAGAAATGAAAAGCAATAGGATATATTGGAATATATGAGGAAGCCATTTGGTTTAAAACTAATTCGGCCTGACCTTGTTTTTCCAAAAGTGCCTGACGTGGCCTGTTAAGCATGCACTGTACGTCTGCTTTAAACATTTTCTATATCCCAAAGACAAGAATGATGCCCTTAAAGATGGAGATGTAGCTCCCCCCATATTGGCATTTCTTTAAGGATAAGCATCTCTTCCTGGAAACTAAAGATTAATTACTGACCTGCTGTGCTCACCTTGTGACCACTGACCTGCTGACCACCGACCTGCTGTGCCAGTTAAGCATCTGGTGACAGCAGTAAAAGAGATAGTCCTGTCATGTTTGATGTATGCACTTTGTTCCAAGATGCTATATAACCACTCTGTACACCTCACTTCTTCGATGCCCTTCCTTCCTTGGGGAAAGAAGGTCCCGAGCTATAGTTCTCAAATGTGGCTCAGAATAAACTCATCTCAATTTTGATTTGTAGATTGACTATGGATTATTTGCATCAACATGTAAGTCAAGCAATAGACTTGCACATAATTATAATAAATTGCTGCTTGCATTACAAGTATTTGTTTTTACCTCTTGATTATTAATCATTGTTTGATTCTAATAAAATGTTTACAACGTGATTTGTTTCATGTTCTTCCTGTATACCAGGTACTCTGCTAGGTGCTGTGGATATTGTAATTTAACAGACGAGAACAGTCTTTGCTTTACATAGAATAAATAAAAATAAACACAATAAAATTATTTTTCTATAATTTTATAAATTATGCGTTTTACATTTCTTGATTCTGCACCATGTTCTAAGTAGCACTGTAAGATGACATTCAATGTTCACATTTTGCACGAAATTAAATGGAATATTTGAATGCTGAATTAGTTGATATTTTATCAACTTCCAGTAAACTTTGTTAACAAAAAGTTGAAAGCTCCTTGTGTTCTTTTGGTGAAGGTCTCTATCTTATCCACACCTCTTTAGATCTGGAGAAATTTTCTCTGTATTCTTATCACTAACAAATTTTATGTTGCTTATCCATTCATAATTTTAGGATCTGTCCATTTCCTCCATCGCTACGCCCTGCCTCTTTAGACACAATCTTAAACCATAACATTTCCAGAAGGATGTTCTGAATCATGAATACCTGTTCCCTTAATGTAATTGACCACACAGTTAAGTATTGGATTGGGGTCCAAAAGTTGTCTTTTCTAGCTCTCAAAATGATTTCAGCCTGTGTTTCAATGCTATTACAATCAGCTAATAGTGCCTTTTTTAAAAAAAAAATGCCCTTTGTGTCCTATACTAAGGATGGTATACAAAAGTATTCAAATGATAATAGAAACACAGCCGTAAAGATATAAATGGTGATACTTAGGAAAGTAAACTGTCAACTGGAAGCTCAAGATACTTGCTTGCCAACAGAGAAGTAAAAGTGTGAATTTGCTATGGGAAAAGCCCTTTAGGGGGGTCTGTATACAATGTGAGAAAGCCTGAGCTGTATGAAAGGTAAATGTGTACATGTGAGCGACACCTGCATGGGAATATTTCTTATTCTGGCAGCCTGACTGAATAGATGGATTTAACTCTGAAGAGGGGAAGTTCATGACCTCAACTCTGGAGGCCAGAAAAGGCTCCAGGAGGTCATCTAATGCATCCTTCTCCCCCCTGGTGTTTAAAGCTAGGATATGGCCCCTCGGTTCTGTGATCTGGATTAATCTACTTTCTCAATCTCTCCACATATCAAGACTTTAACTCCTAGAATGTATTTCTTCCTCCTTTTGGGCGACCAGGCATTCATTATTTTTTTAAGCCACTAAAAATTTCATTTATCCATATATTTTCAACATCACTACCATCCAGGTAAAATAGTGTGCTCTAATGTATGGAGCTTTGAATCAGGAGTCAAAAGACCTGCATTCTATCTCTGTCTCTGTCCCTTAATGAGCCAAACAGCACAGTGACCGGGAACAGATGACTTTGCTTCTTTGAGCTCCAGGTCCTCCATCTGTGACTATTAAGGCTGTTAGCCATTCCGCCCACTTCCCAAAGTTGATAAGAAAGTCAAACAAATCACACTCATGAAAGGGCTTTGGAAACAATAGAAATGTAACAAACATGAGAAAGTTTTATTGACTGGCAGAAGGAAGGTTATCAATTTACCAGTAAGTAGGATCACTAGGTGTGGGGATTGTTTTCTCCTCAAAACGCTGCTTTAACTGTTTCTCTGGAATTTGTAGGCTCTTTCTGACTCCATACAGATTCCTCATTCAGTACCCCCTGGTTTCAGAGGCAGGGCGAAGTCTCTTTATTTGCAAAATTTCTCTCTTTGAATCCTGACTTTTTTAAGCCCTAGTCCTGTTTACTAGCACTTTCATTGCTGCCCACCCTCTTGCATTCTTCCCTCTCCTAGAAAAAGCTCCCTTTACAGGCTGGCCTCTGAAACCAGCGTGGTCATCAGCCAGCCAGTTTAATACATAGCACTCACATGTGTGCTTGATATTTGCCATTATATATAATATATATGCGTATATATATATATATATATATACGCATATATATTGCCTAGGATGGTGCATCTATTCTGCCTTGTAACTAGAAAAATGGCACTGATTCCCAGACTAAAGAGATGTCACTGTCTCAGCAAAAGACAAAGAACAAGGATGTGTTATTCTCTCCCAGGCCTGCTTACAACAGCAACTGATGTTACAAAGGGCACTGTCCTGCTTGCCGTTTTACCTCTAGGGGAGCCCTAAACCCCTTTCCTGTCAGCACGACTGCAACACTATATGTGCATGATCTGGGCCTGGCTAAATCTCTATTAATAATTTCCCACCTCTCTTGTCACGTTCCAGCCACACTGTCTTGTTGCTGTTCCTCAAACACCATAAGCACTTTCCCAACCTTTTCCCAAGCACTTTGCACTTGCTGTTCCCACGAAGATCTTCACACAGATGCTTGATGGTTCCTTCTCTTATACTATTCAGTTTTCTATGCAAATGTCACTTTCTTGGAAAGAGCTTTGCTAAGCACTCTAAGACAACCATCTCACATCCTTCTCCTCTTAGCTGGCATGATTTTTCTCCATAGCTGTTATCTCTTTCTGACTTTGAATATCTATTTGCTCCTGCATAATTATTTGTGTATAAGCTCCATAGAGGCTGAGGTTTTGCTGGTTCTCTTCACTTGTATCTGTGGCATGTAGGTTGGTGCCTGACACAGAAAGGTTCTCAATAAATATGTGTTGAATGAAGGGTATGACCAAGGTCTATCATCCAATTTCCTCTTCCCTAAGTCGGGAGCCGACTCCTCCAAGGCCCTTTGCTTTCTAGCAGCTGGAGGAATAATTGGATTACACACTTACAGTGGCCTGTGGCTCTGAGAGCGCCAAGTGCCATTCTGAGAAATAATTTTCTAATTCTGAAGAAATTATAAAAATGATCTAAAGAAACTAGTGGAATCAGCAGAGAGAGAGACAGTAAATCAGGACTTTGTCTTTCCATCTGAGCACCAATCTCTTGGCTTCTCTTTGAAGACAGATGCTGGACCTTTGGCAAGTGGGGGCAGCAAATGACAGAAGAGGCAAGCTCAGACCTCTCTGTGCTTTATGCTACATATTCCTGTAAGGATAAGTGGCTTTCAGTATAAAGCAATCACATCCTCTTGTTTAAATGGCAGATGCTTAGGATTGTTGTTTCTCTTTGGCATACACATAAACAGGGGATTAAAAGAAAATGAACCCATATGGTCTACACTGGGTGCATCAAATAAGAATCTGGATCTTGGGCCTTGAGTGGATATACCTATATTACTATATTTCCCTTTCATCGTTTACAGATAAAGTTTTCCAATAAAGAGTCTATACCCACTGGCTCTACATTTTCTTTACCATCAAAGCTTTCTTGGAACCTTCTCATGTCACCGAGAAAAGCTGTTCCCCTTCAAGGTTATCCTTCACTGCCCCTGTATCAGTCATTACATCCAGAGCCTCTTTCCAAATCTTCGCAATGATTGGCAGGACCCGTGCCATGCTGAGTCTCCATGCATAATTCTGACTCTCGCACTTTCCAGGAAGTGTGATGTGGAAGAAAGAGCATGCATGTTAACATCAGAGCATTCTGGATCAGGCACACTTGTCCCGACTCTTCTATCTATTTCAAAGTCACCAGTATTATCTCAAGTTAGTGATTAATAATTGCTACTATTATAATATTGTATTTATATTGTAACTATATCTTATAGTGATTATAATTATTGGTATAGCTGCTATTATTAAAATATGCATTATGTGCTTTGCATGTGTTACTACAGTGACTCCTCATGATGATATGAGGTGGGTCCTTATGATCAGACACCTCTGGTATGTGTGCACAGCTTCCTGGCTCATCCTTCTTTTAAAACCAATTTTATTGAGGTATAATTTATGTTAATAATTATAATTACATTAATAATTAAATTCACCAATTTTAAGTGTGCAGTTAGATAAATTTTGTGACATGACTACAATTATGTAACCAATACCACATTCACAATACAGAATATTTCCCAAAACCACTCCATGCATTTGTAGCCAATCCCCGCATCCCGTCCACTGGCCCCTGGCCATCACTGATATTCTATCACTAGTTTTTTGGTTCACCTTTTTATTCCAGTCTTTACTGTGGCAACTAGATGCACACAAGGATGATTTGACAGGACCTTGCCTCAGCTCTCCTGAGTATCCCATGCTTTCTGCCCTGGGGTTTCTCCACCACCATGAAGTGGGTTTCTTATGTGTGTCCCCTGTGCCACTCTAACATATGTGCAAACCTTTGAGTTGGAGGAAGTTAGCACAACATGAGGCAACTCTGACCAATAGGGGACGATAGATAAGTATTCCTCTTCTCCATTCCTTGGAGGGGCAATTCTGAGGTGCATTCAATAAACACAGCTCTTCAAGGTTCACTGGAGGGACCGACCCCCATCTGCCCTTGGACTGGCTTTTCTTCCCAACACCCCCACCACCCCTCAACTCCTCTTCCTTAGGATCATTTCCCAAAATAATTCTCCTGCACATAAGTCTTATGTCAGGCTCTGCTTTTAGTGGAAATTCAGGCTAAGACAGAATTACTGTATTCCTATTCTAAAAAATCATTTAGTAAACTGAGGCTAAAAGAGGTTAACTGCTCAGAATTGCACAGCTGTTAACACACAGCGCAAGAGCTTGGATCCAGAACAGCCTGACTCCACAGTTCATGGTCTTAATTACCACATAGCTTTTCAAGGTGGAAACTAAAATCAGCTCCGATTTTGTCCAATATTTTTATAACACACACCTAAATTACTGTTATTTCTTCTTTTGAAATGTCTTGCTCATCAGTTATTGAAAATGATTTCATCTGGAAGGAAGCCACAATGGGTAATTTCCTACTGCTATCACTGTACAGCCTCTCTGATTCCTATGAAGCCTCATAGTTGATTTTCTTCCTTCCCATCAGGCAATATTGTTTGTGGATAAGTGTGTTGGTTTTGGGTTTTGATGGAACTGATTTCAAATCTTAGCTCTCTCAGTTCTTAACTGTGTGATATTTGGTGAGACTCTTAATCTCTCTGAGCTTCAGTTTCCTTATTTACAAAATGGAGAAAATTCACAGGGTTATTTGGTGAAATACATATTAATATCTCGTTTTCACTTGTTCAGATATTAAACCACGGGAAGCCATTTTCATTTTATTGCGTTTGTTATTATTACTGTTGAGTTGATTTTAAGTGGTAGGATTTTGGAGAAGCTTGGACCTTTTATTGTTAATAGTATATTCATTCCTTTAATTTTCAGGAAACGGTTTATTTTTCTCAGTCGAATACTTCTGGTAATCTACGAGGAAAACCCAGAAATTTCTGGACTATGAAATCAAGTGCATAGTGCATAAAAATGTCAATACAACTATGGCTAGAAGCAGTGGAGGAACTTAAGACCCAATGGACTCACATATTGATTAAAGTACTCCATTACATAGCATTAAAATGATCTTTAGTGCTGTGGCAATGAAATAAAAGCCTCTGAAAAATAGTAGGTTTCCATTAAAGATGATTTAATGCTTGGATTCAAAATTACTCTTGGCTAATTCATGTTTCCTGTCGACCTTAAAAATAAAACAGCCAGTCATTTTACCAGCAAGAAGGGTTTATTCAGAAATACCAAAGGAATTACAAATCAGAACAAACAAGCTATAGCGAAAGCCCTAGGCAAGTCCAGCAAGCAAAAAAGAGAAACGTTATTTTACAGAGAAAAAGGAAGAAGTTGAGAGGGGTTGTTTTGGACAAAAGTCCATTGGTGGAAAGCAAGAGTGACAGTTTCTCATTAGCTGAGTTGCTGGGGTATTTGATGTCTTGTAGGAGATGTAATGTGCATCTTTTCCTTTTAGGTTCTGTAATTGGTGATTCATTCCTGTTGACTTCTTCTGTTGGGACCTGTAATTAAGAATTCTTCCTGTAGTTGACATCACGTGGTACAATGGGGAGTAAAAACTCCCCATTCAAGTCTCCCAACTCCATTTTAGTAAAGTTTCTCTTTATTAATTTTCATATCCCTAAAATACATTATGCCCGCTACTTAAATTCAAAAGGAGTCCTTAAAACTTGGATTAAATAGAAAACCAAACTTGATTGAAATACGGGAGCTTCAAGTTAGTGAAAACATATGATTACGTATACTAAAATTGGTCAGGCCTTATATAAAATATGTTTATGAAAACAGCCTATTTTCAAAGTGTCTAATTTGGTTACAATTTCAACCAAGAGTACAAAGAAAATGCAATTAAAGAGTTTCACTACTTCAATTACATATGTGGTTTTGTCCACCTAATTAAATCCTTTTTCGTGTACTCCACCCAGTGGCTCTAAGTTTCTCACAGTAGCATAAGAAGCATCAAGAATACGTTTCATTCTTCCCAAATCATGAGCATACTTGTAACTGAGCCTGCTGTGGTTTGTAATTTCGTGTTTTAAGGAGAAAGTTTTTAATCACATTCTTTATTTAGTTCCCCCAAGTTAGACACTTATTTGTAGTTTCAAGCCGTCACTCACAGAGAAAATGAGCCTACTCTGCTTAATTACATATTTGTTTTACATTAAGGGATGGCTGTAATCCTGAACTGCCAGAAAAGTCATCTTCAAAGGCGAAGAAATGAGAGTCTGTAAAATGAAAACAGGCTGCTTGCCAAGTTAACTGACTGACATCCACGCCACTGAGGTCAGAGAAGTCCCCTCAGAGGGACCATGAGCAGGGTCAGAAGGACCAGGACTTGTTCAGGAAGGGAGTATAACCAGAAGAGAAAAGAACTCTGGGCACTCCAAGCATATTTTACATCTGTGATTATTTGGTTGCTCACTGATCTCTCCTCCATTGCCGCATGAGGACAGGAACCAAGTCTCTTTCTCATCACTGCAGCCACCGGAGGCAAGCTCAGGCCTTGACATAATGAAATATACATTGATTGATGGACAGACAAATCTCTCCTCCATTGTTTTGCTTTCTGATGGTTTCTTCGGCGACTGTCTTATCTCCCCAACTAGACTGTAGTCACCTGAGAGCAGAGAATATATCTTATATTCCTCTAAAATTCTTCCCAGTGGTGTTTCATTCAAGTCAGTGACAACACCTATCTCATGTGAGGCTGTGAATCTGAGAAAGCAAAGGAAAAGAGAGGGAAGCAGGAGTGGTAGGAAAGGGTTGTGATGATTTCTACACAGCACATCTCTAAGTACACATGGAATTATATGAAATTCCTGAATGTGACCATTTTTGACCTATAAATTCCTATAATTTCATATAGTTCCATCTAACTACTGCCAAGTGATGAAAGTTGAGAAACCAAGAAAGAAACATGGCATTTTGGGTGGGCAAACTGGAATTTAAATCATAGCTCTGTGACTTACTGGCTTTATAATCTTGCTCAAGCTTCCAACTCTCGTCGGATCCCAGCTTCCTCGTTTGTGAAATGGGCATAATGCCATTTTGGGAGGATCGCGGTGGTGAGGCAAGGAAGCATGTAAGTCTCTTGATACGCAATGAAAGTAGCTCTGCTCCCCAATCATCTCACGCAGATATCTTTACAGCTCCTCGTCTCAATCTGCCCATCTGTAAAACAGTTAAAGAAATGAAGTATGGCTCAGAGCTCATGCTCATAACTACTATACTGTACTATGCCATACTATAGTTTTTAATTAATTTCTAGTTAGTTTTTATAATTGTTTACATTTAACTTGTTTGAAAATTAATAGTCCTTGAGACAACAAGATATAGAGCTAGTGTAAGAGAAAGACAGAAAGAAAGATGTGTGTGTTTCTGTGTGTGTGTAAAAGAGAGTGAAAGAGGCTAAAGACATCTGTGTCTGGCTTGGGTCATCTATTTTCTTCTCAAGGCGTGAATGAGTGCTTAGTATGTGTCACACTTCAGAAATCTTGGTGTGACTAACCTTCCTTTGGTAGGAGCGTGAGGTATGTATCTCTGAGTCAGAATTTGCAAGTCTGCTCACACTGTAGGTTTAGCTGTTTTGAATAAAAGAAGATTAATAGTACAAGCCTGTGTATTATTTTCTTTATATACAGGGATCTTCCTCTTAACCATTTTATTCAACTGATTTCAATTCCAACCCCGGCACTGCTCTCAGGGCTTTATGGATATGAACTTATTGAATCTTTTTAACAACCTCATACAATAGACGTTATTTGCCCTCTTTTTCTGGTGAGGAAACTGAGGCACAGACAGTTTTAGTAACTTGCCTGAGGTCACACAGCAGGTAAGTGGTAAAGCCAGTATTTCCAAGGAGGTCAATAGGCTCTGGAGATTATGTTCTGGCTTCCTGCACTATTCTAAGTCCTAATGGTTTATTGATTTTATACATTACAGCTGAAAACTCTTAATACCTGGCAGATGTGTTGTATGCAAAAGGGATCTCTAATTTATGTTATGGAAATGCCCCTAGGGATGCCCTAACAAAGATTACTCTCTAACTGCCTGTAATTGCACCATTCAAGTTTCATTTGTTGCATCACAAGTTACCTCTTTTAAGATGCATCTGGTGGGCAAGAACGTGAGGCTGGGCATGGGGAGGGGAGAAGGTGAGAAATGAATCCTGGAGCAATGGAGAACTGCTGGGTGCTTGGGACTGGATTTGGTGCCTCAGTATGAGGCAGGCAGAGGAGAAAGAGAGGAACTGCCCTATTAGGTTAAACTGTTCACAATAGTGAGATGTTACTATAAGGCCAGTTTGTGAACAAGGAAACTGAACATCGCACAGGTTAAGGACTTGCCCATGGTCACATAGCTGGTGAGCAGTGGAGCATTGGCAATCACATCTAACTGACTCCAAATTTAAGTACTGTTTCCTCCATTACCGTGCGTACCTCCTAGGGAAGGGGAGAAGAAGTGAAAGAGGTGTTTCCAGGGTCCTGAAAGGGTCAGAAGGAGAGGATGGAGAAAAATAAACCTCTTTCTAAATGTCTAACGTTGCCCTGCTCTTTGACTTTTTATTTATATTCCTTTATTATAAATTCATGTCAACATGTTATCCTCTTGGCAGTATGGGGTAGGAGTGGGGTGGAGAGAGAAACATTTTATCCTCTAAACCTCCAAGGAACTTATGGCCTGGTTAGAGAAATAATACGCACATTATCTCCTGGATAAAGCCCAAATTTCTGAGCCTGGCACACAAGGCTCTTTCTTACTGGATCACAGCCTTCCCTGGTGTCCTCAAAACTCTCTATCCCTCCTCACTTTGACCTCGTTTGAGAACATCCAACTCCTCAACATGCAGGCTGGTGCCTTGGTGCCTCGGCAAGTACAGGTTTCTGGAATGCATCTCTCTTTTGGGGTACTCCTTCCCCTCCTGACACAGGAGCTTATGGGGTAGAAGCTAAGGAGTGGTCACATGACTTTGCCAATTAGATGTTCCCATTTAGTTCTTTGAAACATGAGCAAATGGCACCAAAACAAAAAAGAAGATCCGAATTCATTCACCATGGCGGGAGGTAGAATCTAACAATGCTGGTCTGAACAATGCTAATCTGAGCAATGACGTGCTCGGCCGTGTCAGGACGGCAGTAACAACATCTAGGATGGGAGGGTGTCCTGGCTAGACCATTCCTGCCATAGGATGGTTATTGCCTTCTGTTCTGGACCCTTTGAACCTGCTTTGACTCCTGACTCTTTCCTAAGCCTGGCCCTCCTGTGAAGTGTTGAATCACTGAGCCCTGATGGTCTTTCACTAAGTCCCATTATGTTGCTGTAACCAAAAACATCTAATTATCTGTCCTCAGACTGAAATCTTTTTCTCTAAAACATTTTCTGATATCTTTGATCTGAATTACATATTCTCTTCTTTGTAAAATGTGCCAGTTACTATGCGAAGTACATTGAAAAAGACAGGAAGTAATTTGAAAGTATCTTATTCTCTAAGAGTATAGTACAGTACAGTATGGTATAGATCATATTAGGTCCTTTTACAGAACAAAGACTCAGGACTTAACTAGCGAAAGTTTATTGTCAGTAAGTAACAATGATCTTCTCGGGTGTTCTACCATTTCTCTCTTTCTTTCCCTCTTTTCTCTCATTCATTCATTCAACAACTATCACTGAGCATACTCAGTGTTGACTGGCATTGTTCTAGGCTCTGGGGACAGAATAGTGACCAAGACAAATAAGGTCCCTAGTCTAATGGAACTTCCAGTGTCTGAAGGAGAGATAAATAAACAGGCAAAAAGATTAAAATGATCATTTCAAAGGGTTATAGGAACAACAACAGAGTAATGTGATAGAGAATGATTGGGCTGGGGGCATGAGAGAGGTTACTTATGTGTAGTTTAAATAGGGGCTTCTAGAAAGGCTTCTTCGGGAAGATGATGTTTAACCTAAGGCTGAATAATGAGAAGAAGCTAATTGCAAAGAATCAAAGGAAGAGTAAACCAGGTAGAGAAAGGCCCTGCAGTGTGTTTTTGTGTTCAAGTCCAGGAAAGAGACTAGTGTGTGGGAACAGAGTGAGTAAGGTGTGAAGGACAGGAGAGGAAGCAGAAGGCAGACATAGGGGCTCTTTCATTAGGGCCTAATGGGTTACTTTGAAATGTGCATTTTTACCCTTTCATTCTTCATGTAATATCCCCCTGCCATTCTGTGTGTCTGGATTTCAATCCTAATAATTGAACAGATTACTCATCACCCTAGCTGCTTGTATTAATTAAGAGGATGTTTACTCCTCTGATACAGAATTCTCAAAATCTCAGTGACGTAATACTGAGTGGAAGGGAATTGTATTTCTTACTCCATTCCTGATCAGTGTTGGGGAGCTCTATTTACTTAATCATTCAAGGACTCAGACTGATGGAATATTGGCCATGATCAACACATGGCTTCCAAGCTTTCCCCGAATGGAGATATCCAGACGGAGGTGAGTTAGGGAGCGTCGGGGGAGCAGTGAATGTGTGATCTCATGAGAGGGTTTGATGGGTTGGCTGAAGTGATGAGCAACATTTCTGCTCACATTCCTTTGGGCAGAATTCAGTTACATGACCACACCAAAGTGCAAAGGAGAGTGGAAAATGTAGTCTGCTTGGTGCCCAGGAATAAAGGGAAATAGTTCAGTCGTGGCCCGGGTAGTGAATGGCCTGAGGCTGTCTTTCTTGGTAAGTATCAGTGCAACACACTAACTGGCAGGCGTTCTGGGGATTCCTACCTCATAGGGATGAGAGGTGGGTAAAGAGAGAATATATTTGAAAAATGAAATTCAAGTAAATATGATTTTTTCTAGAAAATAAAAAACGCTAAAGTTTTGATAATACAAACTATAGAAAATATAGCTGGACAAAATTGTCTTGCTTGGTTGAGATGAGCAGAAAATCTAGTGATTCTCAACTGAAGGGACACATCTGTAGGACAGGGTAGCAGGTTGGATAGTGTCCGCCTCAAAACATATGTCCAAGTCCCAGTCCCTGGTCCCTGTGAATGTGACCTTATTTGGAAACAGGATCTTTGTAAGAGCAACTAAGTTAAGTGTGTTGGGATATGATCATTCTGGATTTAGAGGTCACTCTACATGGACACATGAGGCAGAAACGAAAGTAGGTTCCCACCTTGATATTGTCCCCAGTCAGTACTTCCAAAGTACCCTACTCCTTTGCCCAGCAAAGTGTCTCCCCATACCATTTCCAGGGATCTTTAAAGAGCGCCCATAAAACATGCTCAGAGTTTGCTCTCCCAGCTTAGCCACAGCCAGCAAACTACTATATAGCATCTGCTGCTTGTTGCTCAGCTCTCCATTGTCAAATCCAGTATTTCACAGCTGCTTGAAGGAACCTCAGCACGCCTGTGACAATACAGGCATTCAGTTAAGCCAAAGCTGAGGATGTCCCCAGAGGTCAGAGCGAGGTATTTTTAGGAAGGGAGGGGTATGATTCTCTCCTCAACTCTCTGGCAACTGAGCCCCAAGAGGCCGTGCCAGTTCCTAGACTGTCACCAGGTCCCACATGACAGGGGCTCCATCACGCTAACATCCTAACTCCTCTCTTGCCCAGATGCTCTCATATGACCCAAGGGGGTTAGTGGGCAGCAAACATCACCCCATTGCTTCTACTCTCTCCATCTCTTCCACTGCCTTGGCATCTCTTTCTAAAAAAAAAAAAAAGTGGAAAAACAATCTTTGTTCCTCCAGCCAAAGCAAAAGCCCCATGTAAGACAACTTACGTAAAGAGAACCCTTGGCAAAGGAAGGAGTGTCACCTAATCCCACACAGCTCCACTACAGGTAACTTGCTCATTGCATAAGGAAAAAGAAAGTGGGCTTCAGTTTTCTGGAGACTGAGAAGTCCAAGATCAAGGTGCTGGCAGATTCTTGGTAAGGGCTCTCTTCCTGGCTTGTAGACAGCTGCCTTTTTGCTGTGTGCTCACATGGCCTTTCCTTGGTGGTATGTGAGGGAGATCTCTCTTCCTCTTTTTATAAGGGCACTAAGACCATCACGAGTGTTCCACCCTCACGACCTAATCTAAACCTAATTACCTCCCAAAGGCCCACTTGCAAATACAGTTACACTGGAGGTTAGGGCTTAAATATATGAATTTTGGGGGACACAAATATCAAGTCCATAACAG